CACCGACAGGCGGGCCAGGGGAGGACAAGTGCATGCGTCCCGCGCGTCCACGCACTGTTTCACCCCAAAATCGACGCAAACTTGGGGCCGAGGATGGGTCGAAAGCGGACAGAAAATGGACAAAAGTCTGTTTGCTCCCACGCGCTGGGCCGTCTGATTTGTCCCTTTTACCCCAAACGGACGGGGCCGGATAGGATGGGGTCACGCGGTGGAGTTGGCCCCAACCTGTAGAACTCTACCAGAGAGCGAAGAAGAGAGAAGACGAAGAGATCGGGGCTTGCTGGTGAGATGTCCGGCCTCATTTCCTTCTTTCTCCGCCTGATTCGCGAGGAGGGTTGTCGCTACCTTCTTCGCTACCATGGTGTTGGTGGACTCCGGCACTTTCGTTGCAGGATGCAGGCAGTCCGTCGCTTCGACCGTTGCGCCGCTCGACGTCGTGGTCACTGCACCGTTGGACGCGGCCATGGTGTCGCCGGACGCGCCGCTCCTGGTGCTCCCCACGCCCACGGACACGGCCTCGGCGTTGCTGCACACCACGCTGTTGGTGAACAAGGGGCTTGACCCATGGCTTGTGGCCGGACCGAGTGCCCCCATGGTGCACGGGGCCGCTGCCGCGCCTCCCGGGTCTCCGACTCCATCCCTTCCTCCGCCGGCCAAGTGGCTCGTGTCGTCAACGCCGATGCCCGCCGCCGAGTCCACCGGCCCGCCCGGCTATGTCTCCGTATTGATGCGCACCGTCGTGGACGAGCAGGAGGCGCTTGCCTTCATCTCCGTGCCAACCGGAGCCTCCGACGTCATCTGCCTCGGAGCCGGGATGGAGGGCGTCGACACCACCGCCCCGCCTCAGCGGGACATGGCCACGGGGTCGAGTAGCCGGGCGGAATGGCGCTTCGGGTGCCTCTTCGGGCACGCCGTCGCCGCTATCGACCTTGTCCCGGCCGCCGCCTGATACGTCTCCAACGTATCTATAATTTTTTATTGTTCCATGGTATTATGCTATCAATCCTGGATGTTTTATACACATTTACTAGCAACTTTATACCATTTTTTAGAACTAACCTATTAACTTAGTGCCAGTTGCCGTTTTTGCTTATTTTTTTACTTTGCAGAATATCAATACCAAACGAAGTCCAAATGCTATGAAACTTTTCATAGATTTTTTTCTGGCAAGAAGAGACTCTGCAAGCTTCTGGAGGCCATGAGAAGATGGGACAGTGGGCCACTAGGCACCAGGGCGCGTCAGGGGCCTCTGGCGCGCCCCGATACGTCTCTAAAGTATCTATAATTTTTATTGTTTCATACTGTTATATTATCAACCTTGGATGCTTTACATTCATTTACTAGCAACTTTACATATTTTTTGGGACTAACCTATTGATATAGTGCCCAGTGCAAGTTGTTCTTTTCTGCTTGTTTTTTGCTTTGCAAAATATCAATAACAAACAAAGAATCATTGTTGTTAATAAAATCATGACAAACTGTAATAGAAGCAATCGGGGTGCTAATAAAATCATTATTGTTGGTATTGGAAAAGTCACATAATTTAGTATTATCTTGAGCCATCGTGATAAACAATCAATCCAACACACAAGCAAACAAGAAGCAAGTGAAAAGAGGCGAACGAAAAAGGGCGAATAAAACGGCAAAGGTGAAGTGGGGGAGAGGAAAACGAGAGATGAATGGAAAATAATGTAATGTGAGGGATAAGAGTTTGTGATGGGTACTTAGTATGCCTTGACTTGAGCGTAGATCTCCCCGGCAACGGCGCCAGAAATTCTTGTTGCTACCTCTTGAGCATGCGTTGGTTTTCCCTTGAAGAGGAAAGGGTGATGCAACAAGTAGTGTAAGTATTTCCCTCCGTTTTTGAGAACCAAGGTATCAATCCAGTAGGAGACTACACGCAAGTCGCCTAGTACCTGCACAAACAATCAAGAACCTTGCAATCAACGCGATAAAGGGGTTGTCAATCCCTTCATGACCACTTGCAAAAGTGAGATCTGATAAAGATAATAAGATA